GGGTTTAGCCTGCAGGGACCAGCGTCTGGGCTCTTGGGCTTAGGGAGAGACCTGCTCCTATCGGGGGAGTTTGGCTTTCAAGCTCATCTCCGAGAGGGTTTAGGATTGAGGGTTTAGGGTTTGGGGGTTGCGGGTTTAGGGTTTTGGGGTTTAGGATTGAGGGTTTAGGGTTGAGGGTTTAGGGTTTAGGGCTCATCTCCGATCATCATCTTGACTTGTGGGTTTAGGGTTTAGGAAGTGTGCATCCTGGATGCATCGGGCTTAGGGTTTAGGGTATCTACAACTGCACTGGGCCCTGATACCCTAAAGCCCTAAACCCTAAACCCTAAACCCAAAGCCCCAGACCCGAGCTGCAACTCCATCGTCAATCCAACCGACTGCGCCCAAACGCGTGGTTTCGGTTTGGAGTTCAGGCCAGAAGCCCTAAACCCTAGACCCCTAAACCCCTAAACCCCTAAATCCCTAAACCCCTAGACCCTAAGCCCTAGACCCCTAAACCCCTAAACCCCTAAACCCCTAAACCCTAACCCCTAAACCCTAAACCCTAAACCCTCTACCCTAAAACCCTAAACCCTAAAACCCCAAAGCCCAACAACCCTAAACAAAAGGGTTTATATAGGGCCCCAAGAATTGCAGGATTTGGCTCGTTCTGGAAAACTGCGATGGGGGAGACCTGTTCGACAGCCGCGCTCAAAGCTGTGGGATGGGTAGCGATTTGGGTAGTTAGGGTTTAGGGTTCAGGGTTTAGGGTTTAGGGTTTAGGGTTGGATGGGTAGCGGTTTGGGTCGTTCTCCCAATCAGAGTCCCTTTTAGGGTTCTTGTTATAAGGGCTCTGCGCTATTTTGGGGCCCCTAAATGGGCCCCCAATTTCAACAACTACCCATTTCCAGGAGTCCTATTTTAGTGAGTGTTTAGGGTTCCGGGATAAGTTAAAGGCTTTAGGGTTTGGGTGTAGAGTTGTCTATGGTATAGGGTTCAGGGTCTGTTGGGGTTGCTGGTATCCAGTCCAGGTTTCCGGGCCCCGGTGTTCCTCGGACCCCTGGGTGTCCCCGCACAAGTTCTCACAGAAATACACGATGATCTACTACGAAACCCTGTTCGCTAAACCCGAAACCCTAAACCCTAAACCCTAAACCCTAAACCCTAAACCCCCTGGCCCTACCCGAAGGCCTACATGAAACCTTACCCCAAACCGCCCCAAACTCTCAACTCTGAGCCCTACGGCCCTCCTTGTAGAGCCCTTATTGCAAAAGAGTTGAAGGGTTTAGGGTTTAGGGTTTAGGGTTCAGGGTTCCAAGACATCCAAAGTTTGCCAGCAACAGACGATGAACGCCATAAGGATCGGACCGGCCACCACTTTTGAACTCGAGTTGTAGTGATAGAAGCAAGGAAACACTTGCAAAGTAGTTGTTCACTGCTTGCTTAAGACAATAGTAACCATGGCGGCAGTAAGAAGAGGAGGGAGAAGAAGGACACTAAACATAACAATCAGATTAACTTTAGACACATCCAAACACTATCGCGCTCACCACAGACGCATCGACGACGCACCCGAGCCTTACGCATGCTTTTGCAAACCAGCTGCGAGCTACACAAATTTGGCAAAGCTTTATTCAAAGCAAGCACAGAGACGAGGAACAGCCCTAAGCCCCAAACCCTACTGCATCACCCTAAGCCAGGAAGCCCTGAACCCCCAACACCTTGAAGCCATGCTCCGACTCCTCCCCACCGAAGCCCCAATCCTCAATGCCTCAACCAAAAAGCCCTCTCCATCCGAACAGTTGTACCCGACAGCCGCCTTAAACACCCAAGCCCCCAGAACCGCCCGAGCCCGAAGCCGAGACCTTAGCTCTAAACGAGGTTGCTTTCGTATTGAGTATCTTCAAGTTCTTGAGAAGGGAAGGGACCACATAGCCTTCTCAGGGATTCCAAGACCCAGAAACCCCAACATCCTGGAACCCCGGTTTAGGGTTTAGGGTTTAGGATTTAGGGTTTAGGGCTAAAGCCTTCTATTAAAACCGTACAGGACCCCATAAAGCCCTAAAGTGCCCCAGGAGTGGCCCTGTAAACTTTTTCCGAGGCATCCAGGTGCTGCGGAACAAACGCGGCGGCGTCCTCGCGGAGGTCGACCTCAAACGCTACGCCGGGGGCCAGGAGTGTAATATAAGGGCCTTAATAATTACCTATACTATTTTTTTTTTGGGGGGGCCCCTTTATCATAATCATAGTATCATGCACCTAAAAGCCGTATATTCTAATTATGAAGGCCCCTACATTAAATATAGAAGCCTGAATAATACCCTAAGGGTCCAAAGGACCTAATAATCACGCACTTGGGTTACGGATAGTAGTCTTGTAGGTTAGTATGCAGAGGAGTATATGATTATTAGGTACTTGGACCCTTAGGGATAGGAAAAACGACTGTTCAGGGCCCTGCTTTTGCAAAGACTCACACGGTGGATGATCTAGATCCTGCGTTGCCCATAATAAGGAATATAGCCTAATTCTCATGGTTTAGGGTCCTTAAGGTAATGCAAGGTTTACATCATCAACAGTAGTAGCATTTACATCCCTATTCTATAATTCATTGAGAGCCCCATTTTAGGCTTCGTAAGGTTCGTTGAAGGCCCCTGAACCCTAGACCCTATAAGCACTAAGCCCTACTTTAACCTAAGGGACAATAAGTGGGACCCCTAGAAGGGACCCCTAATTCAAATACCCTATATAACCCTTGTATGCCCCTTATATAGTCTCATAAAGCCCCTGTATAACCCCAAGGGTCCCTGTAAGGGTCCCTCCTTTAGTCCCTTGATTAAGGGCTACTTTAAGGGTTCCTTGCCACCCTTAAAATCTCCACACGCGGTCACCGGCCAAGAACCATAAAGCCTGAACCCTTAAACCCCGAAGCCCTAAACTCAAGACCTTTACTACAACTTCCCTAAACCCTAAACGACCCCAAACACCCTAAAGCCCTAAGTCCTTCAACCCTAAACCCGTTTATCCCAGGTCTGGCAGATCCTGAAAGCCGTTGAGTTCCTCCATGAGCATAACGTCGGCCATAGGGACATCTCCCTGGAGAACCTGTTGCTGAGGCACCCAGATCTTCGTTTTGGGGGTTTGGGGGTTTAGGGTTTTGGGTTTTGGGATCCTGAATCTAAGGATTGTACTTTCAATCATACTATTAAGGATCCTCGTATAGTCAAAGTACCCTTATATAAAAGGGAACTAAAGCGTTCGAATCTATAGCTGTACGGCTTCTATAAGGGCTTGGGGGTTTAGGGCTCCTTCAAAGCAGGTCTTCCGAAATCCCTAAATTAAGGGAAGATAACTTGAATCAGATTAGGGATCCTACGGTAGTTTAACACACATTCCTGAATTAAGGGATGCTGGAAGGTCTGGATACTACTGGGGGCTAGGGTTTAGGGTTTAGGGTTTAGGGTCTAGGGTTTAGGGTTTAGGGTTTAGGGTTTAGGGTTTAGGGTCTAGGGTTTAGGGTTTCGGGTTTCGGGCAACCTGCTTCAAGTTGGGCAGGACCCTATCCGAAAGGAACCACAGTGGAGAGTATAGGGGTAGTTTTCTAAATTAGGGTCCCTTTGGGGGTCCTTTTTATAAGGGTGCCGTATTATATTGGGGATCCCAGAAGGGACCCTAATTTAGAAAACTACCCATATAGCACCCTTAAAGGAGCCTCCGAGCCCTACGCCCTGAACCCTAAGCCCTAAACCCCTACACCCCTAAACCCTAAACCCTAAACCCTAAACCGCCTAAACCCTCAACCCTCTATAGCACCCTTAAAGGAGCCTCTGAGGCTCTGGAGTACCTCCAAGAAGGAGTTCTGCTTCGAAGCATCGCCGGTGCACCGCGGAGGCTCCAAGGATTCGCGCGACTCCAAGGCTCCATGGTTTAGGGTTTAGGGTTTAGGGTTTAGGGTTCAGGGTTCAGGGGTTTAGGGTTTAGGGTTCAGGGGTTTAGGGTTTAGAGTTCAGGGGTTTAGGGTTTAGAGTTCCGGGTTTAGGGTTAAGTAGGGTTGAGTAGGGCTTAGTGGGGTTTAGTAGGGCTTAGTAGGGTTTAGTAGGGATTAGTAGGGTCTAGTAGGGGTTTAGTAGGGTTTAGTGGGGTTTAGTAGGGCTTAGTAGGGCTTAGTAGGGTTTAGGATTTAGTAGGGTTTACCAGGGTTTAGAGAGGTTTAGTAGGGCTTAGTAGGGCTTAGTAGGGCTTAGTAGGGTTTAGTAAGGTTTAGTAGGGTTTAGTAGGGTTTAGTAGGGTTTAGGGTTTAGGAGTTTAGGGTTTAGAGTTTAGTGGGGTTTCTTCTTGGCATTTTTTGTTTAGGGCTTTGGATTTTTGGTGTGGTGTCTTATTTTTTGTAGTCGTGTACAAGGGCTCTTCCTGGTTACTTCCAAGCCGAGCCAAGGTTTTTTAGCATCTTTGATCAGGTCAAATAAGTTTTTTTGATCGGGTCCTAGATGGTTTCAGATAGGCTCATACATAAGGCACGCTTTTATCGGACCCTAATCAGGGAATTCGAAACCCTAAACCCTCAACCCTAAGCCCTAAACCCTAATCAGGTGAAAGAGTTTTGGGGTGGAGATCTTTAGTGCCTGTGTTTAGGGTTAGGCTGTGGGTTTTAGGTCTCATAGAGTTCTACCTCCCTGCATATGCAATGTAGAAGCCTCAGTAATTACCAATGTCATTCCCTAGGGTTGCTCAGTGCATAACTAATAGAATATATCCCAACACCTTACTATTCTAAGTATTAAGGCCTGTATGTTATATGTACATATGATGTAGACATATGCGCTCCCTAAACCCTAAACCCTAAACCCTAAACCCCTACACCCTAAACCCCTAAACCCCTAAACCCTAAACCCTTAAACCCAAACCCCTAAACCCCTAAACCCCCCGAAACCCTAACCCTTCTAAACCCTAAACTCCTAAACTCTAAACCCTAAACCCTAAATCCCTAAACCCCAAAACCCTAAACCCTAAACCCAACTGCCAAGGACTCGTTGCATTCGCCGGCCTGCAGCGCGGAGACCGCGACGCCCAAGACGGGCAACTCTCCTTCACTGGAACAGCGACGTGAGCTCCTGAAGAAGGCAAGGGTTTAGGGTTTAGGGTTTAGGGGTTTAGGGTTTAGGGGTTTAGGTTTAGGGTTTAGGGTTTAGGGCCTGCGGTTCCTTCCTTAAGGTTCCGATAAGGTCTACTAAAGTTATAAGGCTTACAAATATGCCATGGGAGAATAGTCAGGGTTTAGGGGTTCAGGGCTCGATATAAATTAACGGTTTAACATGGTTTTATGATGTAGGGAGCGTATTCAAAGCCTGAAATCCCGAAAATGCCAATTCCTGAAAACCCAAGCGAAGAAGGCCCGCGACGACAATGCCCGCGTCCGTGCCGAACTACGGCAGCAGGACGACCGTGGACACTACAGCGACTGTGACCCCTTGCATTCTGAAGTGACTTAGTCTCCAATTCCCAACCTTTAAATTTTGCGGGCTCTTATTATAGTTTACTAGTAATCTGAAATTTTGACCCTTGACTTTCCTGGCTTATTGGGGACTTCAGGTGAAGAAACTGCAGGAGGCTCGGAAGCTTTTGCGTCGGCCAGCGTGAAAATGGCAAAAAAGGGTGCAGCGACCTTTGTCCGGCCCAGTTGCCAGTGTTATCCTTTGTGGTAGTGGTAGGGTAGTAATATAGGGGCCTTAATAAATACCTATACTATTTTGGTGGTTTCCTTATTATAGTTACAGTGGAAATGTGGCCCAAAAAACCCTAGTTTAATTATCAGGGCCCCTACCTTAGGGTAGCACGTAGTAACTGCCGCAGCATGTCTTCTTCTTGCTGCCGCTGCTGCTGATGCTGCTGCTGCTGCTCTCCTTTGCCTTGGCGGGGGCATCTTATATACTGTATCTGATCGTGTTTATGGTAGTGAGCCCTTCCTAAACCCCTGAACCCCTGAAACCCTTCAGCCCTAAACCCTAAAGCCCTAAAGGACACCCTCTTCCGGGCGCCAGAGTCATTCCTAAGCCCCAAACCCTCTCCCCTGAACCTGACCTAAATCGCCGGTATGTGGGTAGTTTCTTCAAACTAGGGTCCCTTTTGGGGGTCCTTTTTATAAGGGTGCCCTACTATATTGGGGGCCTAAAAAGGGACCCTAACGTAGAAAACTACCCACGTAGGAGCTTGTGTAACTTCAGAGGTCCTGGCCATAGTCCCAAGGCGGAAGTTGGGTTTAGGGTTTAGGGATTTGGGGTTTCCGAACATAAGGGGTACCTTTTTGGGGGGTCCTTATAATAAGGATACTATGTTAGGGTCCCCTATTTTCGGAAACCCCATTTGGGGCTTGGGTTTAGGGTTCAAGGGCTAGGTTTCAGGGTTCAGGGTTTTGAGGTTAAGGGGTTGAGGGTCCCATTTAGTGCTTAGGCTTTTAAGGTGGGTTTATACCAAACCCTAAACCCCTAAACCCCTAAATCTCAAACCGTTATACTTTTCCAAGGTCCCTGTGTGGGTAGTTCTCTACAATAGGGTCCCTTCTTGGGTTCCAAATTCAGTACGCCCCCTTATCAAAAAAAGGAGGGCAAAAGGGACCCTAATTTGGAGAACTACTCATGCCCAGAGAACCCAACTTAATTAAGGATATACCTTAAATCATAATATTCAGGCCCGTCTAATTTATCTACCTTCAATCACAATAATATTAAGGCCCCTATAATTTATATACCTTAAACCATAATTTTTAAGGCCCCTTGAACTGATATATATATATATATATATTCCCTAATTAAGGAGGGTTTTCTTTAGTTTATATACTTCCTAATTAACCCGGAGCCCTAAACCCTAAAGCCCTAAACCCTACAGTAAACCCCTAAACCCCTAATTCAGGGGGGTTTTCTAGGTAATCATGGTAAGGTGCTGCAGCCAGGGAGGCGCCACGGCGTGCTGCAGAGGCCCCCCGTGTCTCCCAGGGCTCCAAGGGTGGGACGAAGGTAGGTGGGGTACTTTTGCGTTTAGGGTTTAGGGTTTAGGAAAATATTCCAAAAAGGGCTCCTTATTACTACTACCTACCTTCATCCCACCGAGTTGTCAGGCCTCTAAGTGTCACGTAGTTTCGAGAACGGACGATCGGGTGTTGCGGGGGTTTGGGGTGTAGGTTTTGGGGGTTTAGGGGTTCACAGCAGGGGTTTAGGGTTCAGGGGTTTAGGGGCTTAGGGTTTAGGATGTAGATTTCGGGGGAATAATAGGGTTTACCGTTTACATCGGCGATATAGGGTTTAGATTTCGCGGGGCTGGGCTTTAGGGTTTGGGAGTTTGGTGTTTAGTTTTCATGGGACTACGCACTGCTATCGTTGCGGTTGCCCGTGATTGTACTTGTAGCAGAATCATTACAACACTGGTGCTGGTTATGCTCTTGCTGTTGCAACAGAATACCGAAGACTATGGTACAACATCTTATATCATATTGCAATCTCGTAGAATTAGCTTGAATTCGTCAGAACCCACTCAACTAGCACAAGAAATTCGAAACTAAGTTTGGTGTCCTTGCGCCTCATAAAGCTTCTCTCTTCAAGGAGCTACTTCAATGGGCAATCATAATCAGGAACCCTTGATCTTAAACCCCTAAACCCCCCCATAAAGGGGACCCTATTACAGTACCCTATAGTACCCTTAAATGGGAGCCCATTATAGTACCCTATGCCCAAAAAAAGTGGCCTCAAAACTTAGGGCTTTGGCGGCAGAATTATGCTTTTCAGTGAACCCCTAAGGGTCTCTACCTAAAGCTCTGAGCTGTTTCGGGGCCCTAAAGTTTACATTCTCAGCTCTATACCCCGAACCCCGGAGCTCTAAACCCTACTTACCCCATACCCTGAAACCCTGAGCTCCTCTCCCCGAACCCCAAACCCCAAAACCCTAAAAACCCTGAACCCTAAACCCTAAAACCCTGAACCCTGATCCCCTGAACCCTAAAAACCCTAAAAACCCTAAAAACCCTAAACCCAAGGAGCCAGGACAAACTTCTCCTTGCACGTCGTCAGCCT